TTTACGATTTCGAAGTTTTCTTGTAAAATATTGAATGAATTAATGGGTTTGTAAACTTTACATTTGTTGCACACTTTTGTGCATATTTAAAATGTCCTAAAGCGGAAAACTTAGGTAAGTGACATTGTCGCTTAGGTTGTAATTTCAATAATAAAAACAAACAAAAATCAACCAAAGTGCCAATATCACTTACCTCAGCTTCCCGTTGAATGACAGTAAACTCTCCTGCAAATTTATGAACTTTGCATTTGAAACTTACTGCAACCTCCCATAAGAATATATTGCTATGTGATACTGACACGTTATTATCTCGATGTCACAAATTTCGTGACAGATTACCTTACGAAGATCTTGGTTTGGACGTCGCGTCGGTTAGAGTTCTCATTTGACATTGGGGTTAAATATTAAACTTTCTTTTTAGTCTTACGTCCTCAAGTTTCTGTGTTTTTTTATTGAAACAATAAAATAAAAAATATTGTAATACAATTTCATCCATTTGTTTACAAATAAATGGTTTCTTCAAAACTTATTGAATATCACTTACCAGTTGGAAGATACAAATGAAATAACTTTCTTGCATTCACTTGATTGTCTTTGTAAAAAAAAATTATTTGTGTCTACAGCAAAGGTACAATTTTAAGAAAGTCAAATAATACCGAGAGTCAAAATTGTCGAGATGGTTTTCTATTAGACCAACACACAATAAAAATCGTAAAAGTGTAAACTTACTTGAGATAAAAGAGACAAAATTTATTTTTGCTGTAATCTTTCGCATATTTATAGTTTAACTGTGCTTGAGGTAAATAAAATAATTGAGGTAATTTACCTAGTTTTGTAAAGTTAATTACTATTATAATTCCAAAAACTTACAAATGTTAAAAGATGTTAAAAGATTACTAAAGGACAAACCAAAATAGCGTCGTGAATATCCTTTAAGGACGGAAAGGACATATTTTATATTCGAAAAGATCTTGATCTTAACTATTACTGCATGAACGCGATATACGTAAGCTACTTAACTAAGTAAATTTGAAACTTAAGGGGGTCATCCCGTGTGATGGATTCAAAAAATCGAAAAATTTTGTTTATAAATCACATCTATAAATATGTGTAGAATATGTGGCTAAAGCGATTTTTCGATATTAATGCTCAAAAGTTTTTGGAACTATATATTAGTCGCGTTAGAATGTTAATCAGTGATAGCAAAAACGCCGTCAAGTACAAGGCCAATTGGCATATTAAAAATCTTAAAATGTTAATAGAAAACTTTACATGGGGTAGAAAAGAACGAATGATAATTGCGTCTTTTTCTCTCCCATGTAAAGATTTCTATTTACGTTTTACGATTTTCAATGTGCTTGTTCGAAGAAAAAGGGATTGTTGCATTTACTTGCATTTACTTGCATTTACTTGCATTTACTGTAACGAAATTTTAGTTGTCTCAACAATCAAGTCTTTTATTTCAGCAAAGAACTGAAGTGCTTTTATTGCTATAACAATTCCAAATTGTTGAAATAGCCAAAAGTTTATTTCAACAACCAATCTGGTATGTTCATTAACAACCAAAATAGCAAATACAAGAAAGGTCCGTAGAATTTTTCTTAGTGTACTTTGTGTTTTTAAAATCATTACGCTAATTTACCTGACTTATATTATGTCTGCAACCCTCCACATTCCCCAGATGACGGTTATCAATTTTTAGTTGTCATTAGTGCTATTTTTTCAAGTGCGAAATACAGTATTCCAGATTTCCTTATATTGTTAAAAAGCCTTTCAAAATTTTTGTAATACGACTTCTTCTAAGAACCATTATTTAAAAATATTGAAAATTTATTCAAGTTTAAATATGTTTCTTAATATAAATTTCTAATCGTTTGACTTCTTTTAATCAATAATTCTTATTATATGTGTCCGTTCAAGTGAAAAGAGGCAATTTTGGCAATACTAAATTTCAAAATAAAAATAAAGGCATTTCTTAAAGATTAAATAACAATTTTATAAAATTTTTCAATTTTGAAACCAGGGACCTAAAGACCTAATTGATAACTTGAGAAAAAGATGATCGTTTCCTGAAGTTTGTAATACAATAATATTTATATTTATATTACAAGTTAATTTTAGAGATATCAATATCAATTTAGTGGAAATATATTATACATATTTATAGAAATAATTGAAAAATTTACAAATGGGTTGAATTACAGACTGCTTTATGCATTGGAATAAAACTAATTTAAAATAATATGCACAATAATTTCAGTGATTAAAAGGAGAACATCTGATCTCTCTAATTTGATAAACTGCAGGGAGTCCTACAAGCAAATACTATTTCATGTCTCACATAAAACACTATTTTTCAGTAGGATTACTTTACAAAGAAGCCTGCAAATGTCTACTGCTACATAAGATTTAGGGTGCGATTAACATTTTTTATTTTTCATTTAAAGATTAATAAAATGTGGAAAATAAAATTTAACTGATAATTTATCATTCTCTAAATGAAAGAAGACAAAATTAAAATATACAGAAGCTTTATTTAACATATTTCTTTTCACACAAAATATTAAAGAATATATTTGTTTTTTATAATACTTGCTCCTAATTATTCTTCGTAAGCTTTACTTTTTTAATTTTCGATTCATAACACACACTTATTTCACAAACTTTTTCTTATAATTATGTACTCAACTTTTACATTAAAGAAATAATATATTTAATAATTTACTGTTTCATAAACTTTCATATAAAGTTATTTATACATTGATATTATTCTATTTATTATAATGAGTTTTTGTTGAACTGGTCTTAATTTATCCTGTTTTTATTATACCTATAAGTTCTTTCTTAACTCACTAAATTTATTATTTAATTTAAAAGTGATAAAATTTTTAAAACTTGAAACTCCATTCGAAGAAATAAAACTTTTGTGTTTTAAAATTTGATATTTTGTACGTTGAATAATAAATTGATTCAGTTAAGAAAAAACTTACGCGATAAAAATAGAATGAAATAAAACTTGATTTTTAGAAATATTTATTAAAAATAAAATAAATATCAATGTAAATAACTTAAAATTAATCCTTCAAAATGTTGTGTGGAAAAAATATAACAAATAAAATTTTAATACATTTCAATTTATGTCTGTGCAAATTTGATGTAGAAAATTTGTACTGCAAATTTACAAAAATAGGGACAATAATATTACAAAGTCTGTAGCAAACTTTCTGAAAAATAATGTGGTTAATAATAACCAGTTGCGGAAATTGGAAATTATGCATAAAAAATTTTTCCACTGTAAACTTGTACATATTTAAGTACACTTTTGGTGTCACTTTTTCTTCAACAAATTTTTTTTAATTTTGAGGGTTACGTAGTAGCTTTTTCATGCAGAAACTGGTAAAATTTTTTGTGCGTGATCATGTAATGTCCGCTTCTGGTCACGTGCAAGATCTTGTACATGAAAATATACATGATCTTGTACAGGGATTTTCAACTGGGAAATGTTTAGGTTTCTGTCATTAAGAAAAGTATATAATTTGTTTACTTTTTCAAAGAAAAAATTGAAAAGCACGACTTAATTTAAATCTTTTCGAACAAAAGAAATGACAGGAATGGGAAAAGTAAAAACTTAATTCTTATCCGTACAATGGATAATTGATAAGTTAAAATTTAGCACAGAAAAATTAGTCTCCTTAGTGTAGGAAAAGTGAGGAGGAAAAACTTAAACATTGAAATCCATACCTCAGTGTAAAACTGTTCTAGCTTCGTGTCGCACTTAAAACAGTGCTATCTCAACTTGCTTGATTTGTTATAAACACAATTTCTTTATTTTTTATGCAGTTCTGTCCAATTGGTGTATGTTGTTAAAAGCATGCAATCAAGAGTTAAATTTGAGATAGAGCGGTTTTAAACGTGGCGCGAAGATAGAACGGTGAGGTATCGACATAATTAGAAAAGTTTTTAAAATGCGAGAAGAATTCGTTATAATAAACGACGTATATGTTGTAATTAATTAGAATTATTAATTAATCTAGGGTGCGCCTTTAATTCTTTTGAATAAGCCTGCATAACACTATTAACAACATTAATTATTTTACTCTGTTACTATTATTATTCTCTGGCGATTACTTTTCCGTACATTAAATAATTAAAAATTAAAAATTGATAGTCATCTATGCTAAACTCAGACAGCACATTAGATTGCACCAACCGAACTTGAAGTGTTTTTTATTAGCAACACAGAATATTTATTCCATGTATATTAGTATTTGACGAAAAATGCTTATTGAATTTAATCTAGTTTTTTAGTTTTAGTTAAAAAAAAGTCGAACCCAGAGTTTTTAATTTATAGAAAAGACAGTTGTATTTTAGAAAAGAAAGAGTTTACTTTGTTGAATTTCCTTTATTTCCAAAATGGAAGATCAGTAAAACATATAAGACATGTTTATTTGTCACTATAAAGATGTCTTTGGTGGATACAAATCATTAAAATATGCTTAATTTCTAAGTAGAATGAAGATAATGAACATCCTGAAAGTAGGTTTTAGGCAATTTTAACTTTAAAGTACTTTGAAACACTGTAACTTGTCGATTTTCCTATCAACGTCTTCGTAAAACTGAAAATGTTCCAAATATAATCTATCAAAAATACGCCCCTATCAAGAAGACCAATGGTGCCAAAGTGGACCCTTTTCATGGGGACGTACACATATTGAATTGTTATTATTATTTAAAGCTTGCAATATTCATTTATTTTACTAAATTTATCTACTAAATTATCTTTTAATTGGAAAAAGTGCAAATAATTGTCGTTTTAATAAAAGTCTGCTATAGATATCAGCTCCTTGGAAATTTCTCTGTAATAATAATAATAATAATAATAATGATAATAATAATAATAATAATAATAATAATAATAATAATAATAATAATAATAATAATAATAATAATAATAATAATAATAATAAATAAATGAAAAGAGGAAGAATGTAGAATGAATGTAAAAATCAAATTGAAATCTATTTTTGATTAAGAGTTTTTACAACGATGTTAAAAAGAAGTCCATTTCTTTCGCTTTAATAGTATATATGAAACACTTTTTACAAGGTTTGCAAAGATAGCAGTTTGTATTTGTTAAATTAAGGAAGTCAGTTGCAACAAATTTTCCATCCTGAATATATAACGAATTAATTAAATACTTTTTATTTTTCCAAATGAAAGTTTCAAAAGAAAAGTATAGACAAGCAATGAAGGTAATTTTATTCAAACAATGCCCAGACTTTTTATTTATCAGGACATCGGACGTACTATTATAATTTAAATACTAATTTTTGAATTCTATAATTGTAAAACAAATGTAATTGTCAATTTCGGCGACTTGTAACAATATAACTTAACATTAAACTAAAATATGATTAACAACAGTTGTTAAGTAAAATGTAATGCGTCTGCATATCTCAAGTATTGTATGCAGAAGCACATATGTTAACGATGTAAACTTAAAAATTATATTAAATAAAATAAAACTTACATTACCAAGCAAAATTAAAATGTTTTCTTTTTGTTTTTCATTTCTATGGATTCATTTTATAGATTTTTACAATTTAACAGTGTCTTTAACCTCGGAAAATGCTTTGATTCAACATTGAAAATATTAAATGAAATAAACTTGCAAACACTGCAATAGCCAAATATTAAATTTTATAACGTTCTGCCTCTGTGAGCCCCACTGATGTTGATATTTTAATTGAATTCTATTAATTAAAAAATGAAATGAATAATAGTAACTAATAGTTGTTGAAAAGTAGAAACAGGATTGATGCTTGTTGCTAAGTACACTTGCGACGAAAAATAATATAATTATTTTTTAACAAGAGGGGAAAGAATCATGTAGATACATGTTAAACAGTAATAATTCTTAAAAATAGTTTAAAGTACAAGAATATACAATTGTTCCATATTTGACATGACGAATCTCCCCCTACTATCGTCTCGTTCCCCCAAAGTTAAAGATATCATGTAAATCTTATTAAAGACTATGCAACAAACAATCATTTTCAATAGTAGCATAATACAGTCGCAATCTTTAATATGATATGACATAAATATGAGTTGAAGAATGATCATTAATAATAATCACATTTTGCAATCGATATCAAATCCACAAGCAAACAAGCAAAGCAGGCAAACAAGCAAAATATTTCAAAGATTAACGGGATCTGAACGTGCAAGCAGATTAATGTTGTCAATTAGTCATTGGTTTTGGATAATTAAGCCAGCAATAATTATGAGAATAACACAGTTAGTTACATGATTGAGGGTTATTCAATTCAAAATGTAGATTATTCATGGTTTGATTTTCTTTTTACATCAGTTTTTATCAGTTTATCAGTTTATCAGTTAGCAATTCGTGCATTGATCAAGGGAAAATGCGTTACAGGTGATGGGCCTGTATGTGAAAGTTCAGGTTCAACAGACGAGCTATTGGCAAACCTGAATATGGTCTCGATTTTGAATGACGTGAAACTTGCTCCTGTTTACAACAAAAAATGATTCAAATACTATCATAAGATTATGATCACACATGAGTCCAGGTTAGTCTGATTTTTTTATTTTCTTGTTACAAACAAAATGATGTCGAAAGCGAAACTAATTATTCGTAAGTAAAAAAATGATAATGATGAAAGTTAAAAGCAAGAAAGTAGTACAAGAGAGAGATAGAGAGAGAGAGAGTAAGTAAGTCGACCTCAAGAGGTACGAGACGAGGGTGAGGAGCACAAAGAAACATTATGTTAATTAAGAATTTTAATATTAATCCAAGCATGAAATTTTTTGAGAAGATCATATAAAGATGAAAATAATTGGAAAACTGAGTTTCACAAAAGATTGTTCATCGCGAAATACTAGACATTTCCATTTAAATGCTTGTCTCGTGTACGAGTTTAGGCATTTCGGGAAGGATCAAATTACTGGAACTAATTCGAAATGAGTGGACCGCATTATCCTCATTAACATTCGTTTGCAGCGTGTGACTGGGGCTCAAAGGCTCACTGAAAATATTATTGAATCTATTGCTATTGGCGGTGGAATTATGATGATTATACGCTATGCCACTTCCAGGAACGTGCAGCAGCAGCGGTGAAGCTGGACTGTTGAGTGTTGGTACTCTGGATCCCCGGTTGTTGACTTCGTGCTCTTGCGATTGGTCGACAATGACATGGCTTCCTTTATGAAAGAGCTTGGAGACATTCAGCGCGGTGTTTGTCGGGTCTTCGTCAATGTAAGTGAAGTCAGATAGTGGTCGGGGTCCAGTGTGACTGCGTGAACTGCGCATACTGTGTAAGCTGTGTAAACTATGAACAGAGCGACGCTCCTCCAAATCTTCCAGAGTCGACTTGAAAGCTCTGATTACTCGAAGCTGTAAAAATAGGGAAGGGTGTTCTATCAGGAGGCAAGGAAGCAAGCTAGTAACACACAAGCACGCCGTTTCTATTACTCTTTCAAATATAATTCGTTATCAGAATTCTTCAAGAATGCAAATGTCAATTTCATATTCTGCATTTATTATTGGTCAAGAAATTATTTACAAGCAATCGTTACTGATACACACATTCCACTTACCTACAAGTACCTAAAGAAAAACTATCATGGTAAAAGTCTCTTTTGGCTTTGACTATGAGTAGCAGTAATGATTTCTTTCGGAAAAATCTACTAATTTTAGTTTACCTCAGGAGTACCTTTGTCAATTGTCAGTCTTGCCGACATGATTCTCAAGTACTCTCAAGTACTCTCAAGGTACTCTTGATGTAAAAATTATTGTCATCCACCAAAAAACGGTGAAATTTCATATTCCAGGGGTTTCTCCAATAATTATTTATATCAAACCGCAATTTTAAATTTTGATTATTTTCAGTTTGAATACACACCTGACTATGTTTAGTAAGTTTATCAGCACAATGTGCACAATTAAATTGCGCATTAAAAAGATTATTTCCATTTAGAAATGGTCCGCGGCAGTCCAAATTTATAATGTTCACCTTTCTTAAGAATTGTTATTGAAATTAAAAAAAGCACCATCAGAAATAAAATAGATGATGAAGAGAAGAGTATAAAAGACACAGAGAAAGAGACAAGATAAGAATAAGAATAGATAAAATTAACGATCAGAATGAAACCCTAGGTATAAGATTTGGGTAGCATCACTTTGTCAAGTGTGCATTCAAAAGTATTGTATATTATCTATGGAGACAGTTTTAAAACAATCAGCAAGTTTTATTTAACATACGAACACTGAACATGCTTTCATCATTAGAACGGCGTTCTTTATTTCATAAGCATTTCATAAGCGTGTATTTAGCTCCATTGAACCGAAAAAAATGAAAATATTCAAAAAATATAATTTTCGTCATACGTGCTGGAAAATTAAAAGAAATACGTACGCGAGTGCATTATTGCATCAGGGTATAAAATAAATACACAAATTAAACATAATTTATGCTCTTTTCATCATATAATTATAAATTGCGAGCGTGTGGAGAAAAATATTGCGTGCGTTAAATAACCTTTGTGATAAAAATGTCAAAAAATTCAAGTCAACATCACGTTTTAATAATTTTACTTGTCGCATCATTATAAATATTTTCCGAATGAGAAAAAAATGTCCAAATTGATAAACTCAGTTGATCTTAACAAGTTTTACTCAAAATATGTTTAATTATCACAAGTAAAAGAAAGCAATTATAATTATTAGGTAAGTAAAAATACTTAGCAGACTGTAAATATCAGGTAAATTTCAATTGATAAAATATGTCAAATAATTTGACCATCATTAGGCCCGTTGCACACTGACCGATTCGTGTCGGCCGACAGAATGTCGGTCGAGCGAGGTTTGCACACTGGACGATTTTTGTCGCCCGACCCTTCGTCTTTCGACTATATACCTGTGCAGTTTACAGGTTCATTTTCAGTACCTTGTCAACCTGCGAAAAGTTCGCTGCGTGCAACGAAAAGAGAATATTTTAAAATAATGGTGAATTCAAAAAAAGTTCTTGCAATTTGGTTGTTGCATCGGCATCGTATTAATCGTCAAAGGATTAAACGAGCTTACTGGGTTCATCCAATCAATCAGATGAGAGAACAGGAAAAACAGTTGAATAAATTTTTTACAAAAAATTTTTTTAATTAATTAAATTGTTTAAATAAAAGATATTAAAAAATAAATAATTAATTAATTTCATTATTTAAATAAATCATATTTAACAAATTAATTTATTTCGTTTTCTTTGATTGTTGTTCTAAAAAAATGGTTTAATTTTCATTATTCTAATACTTAATTCTGAAAAACTACCGACGACGGACGACAAATTGTCGTCCAGTGTGCAAGCAACCATTGATTTCAATGCGCGACTGCATCGCCGACATTCACCGACTGTCGTCCATTCCAGTCGATTTGGACGACAACCAAACGACATTTTGTCGTGTCGTTTTAAAATCGGCCAGTGTGCAAGCGCCCATGCTCTTCTTCAGTTAACTGAAAAATTTTTGTCGGCCGACACAAATCGGCCAGTGTGCAACGGGCCTTAGGGTTCACAATCTTTCATGAATTTTAAGTAGCGCACACTTATTAAATAATTATGTGATATAAAACTCTGGGAAAATTTCTTCAATAATTATTTAAGAAAAACATTTATCTTCAATATTCATTTTTAAAAGTTTCATATTTTCAACTGTCAGATTAAAATTACACTGTTCTTGTGAGTATACCTATTTAATATATTTATTATTAATAATAGTAATAATTAATAATTTATTTCCTTACTATCATTTTTAATACAGTGAATTTTGTGATATATAATATATATAATTAATTCTATTTTTAAGGGGGCTTTCTGGTCAAGGATTTTCAAACAAATCGATTTTTCTTTTTTTTTTTTGCTTTAAAATGTTCCTTAGATTTGAGGATTTTTATCAATAAAATTTTGACCTGAAAGTTGATAAATTATGCACATTAAAAACTACTATCAAATTGTAATACTTTTAAAAGTACAACACACCAGTCTGCTGTGCTTTCAAAATTTTTATATATTAAAATTAATACAATTTTAGAAAAAACTTGGAAGCAATTATATTAACGGCTCAATATTAAATGCCAAAAGTTCCGCAATTCATGTTTTTAAAGCATCCAAGTAAAAAAGCATTTAAAAAATGTCAAACGCAGAAAAGCTGTAGTTTAATAAATTGATTGATCGACTTCGAAATCTTACCATTTTATAGACCCCTGTGAGACTTAAGATCTTTTTAAAAATGCATTTTTTGTAGCCCAGAAAAGATCAGAAAGGGAAGACAGAAAATAGACTTCTATGTGCTCTATTTAATTCATTATTAAATATATCGATGGGATCTACGAATATTAAACTATCATTCCGTTACTGATGAAAACGGACTAACTTTTGATACAGTTAAACAATAGTCTAATATTTTTTAAATTCTAAGAATTAGTCTAAGAACTGTCGAATTGCAATTTTTCAGAAAAGTAAATTCAAATTTTGTAACCGACATTTAAACAAAATAATACGAACAAATGAATAATTTGCTTAAAAAAGAAACTTAATTTATTATTAAAAATAAATTTATAAAAAAAAATATTTGAAAATATTAATGAAAATGTGAAAAAGTCATGATTAAAAATACAGGGTTGACACAAAAATTGAATTTTGTTTTTCCCTGCCTTTTCCCTGATAGAGATGTGCAAAATTCGAATCGAGAGAAAATTCGATTCGAACTTGCCAATTCGAAATTCAAAGTTTCGAATTGCGAATTGCACAATTGAATATTTTTTAAAATTGAATTTTTATGAAGAATTTTATAAAAAAATTTTTAAAATAATTAAATTCTTTCGACGAATTTCATTAAAAACTTTTTTAAAGCATTGAATTCCTGTGAAGAATTTTATTTGTGAAAATAATTGAATTCTCGAGAAAAATGTTATTAACTATATGAAAATAACAGATTTCTTGTGAAGAATTTTATTCAAATCTTTTTAAATAATTGAATTTCCATAAAAAATGTATTATTTGTGAAAATAATTGAATTCTTAAGAAGAATTATTGTATTGAAAATAATTGAATGGAAATTTTATTATAATTGCAATTTTATTAACAAAATCTTGTAAAGAATATTGTCAACATTTTTTTAAATAATAGAATTTTTAAAAGAAGTTTATTTAAATTTTTCGGAATAATTGAATTTCTCAGAACTATTTTTTTTAATTTTCTGAATATATTTGAATTCCTTCGAGAAACTTAATTTCCAAATTAAAAATAATTGAATTGGTGCGAAGAAATTTATAAAAAATTGAATTTCGGAGAAGAATTTTATTATTTATAAAGATAGTTCAAATTATTTTAACAAGAATTTAAAAAAATTTTTTAACATAATTGGATTTATGCGAAGAAGTTTATCACTTTTAAAAATAATTGAATTTCTGTATTCAGTTGTTCTAAAAATTTCTATTTAAATTCATTAAAAATTGATATTGAAGGGTTTGTATTAGAATTCTTTGCAATTTCATAGTTCATGAGACAAACAAAAAATACACCAAAATTCAGAATTTTCTTATAAATTTTAAAAATTGAATTTTTTCCAGTACTTTTAATAAAAAATCCCTGACTTTTCCCTGATTTCCCTGACCTGTGGCAACTCAGAAATAATTGTTTGTTTAAGTTAAAATTAAATGTTTTTGGTTGAAACACTTCTCATGAGTAGCAAAATAATAGATCGTTATTCATTTTCATCACTTTATTGCTTCATCGGTAACGGAATGATAGTTTACTGTGAGGCTGTTTATGCAGTAGAGGGTAAAGTAGGGAAGGGTATATACAAACAGACTCCATTCGTAGAACCCATCGATAATATGTAGGTGGAAAACTATGGGTGCTCTATTTAAGTTAAACTTGAAAGATATTTTATCAGATAAGGAAATAAATATTGAATGTTAATAATACCTTACGTACTTCCTTTCTTAACAATAAAATGAAAAGTTGAAAATATGATGAATTGAAAAAGTATTAAATATACCTATATTAAATATTATCTAATTTGTCGATTTCCACAATTGAGGTCCTGAATAGTGTGTGAACACACACTGAGCTTATTATGTCGGCTCTACTTTCCAGGCCCTCATTTTCTGGAAACTGGCAGTTGTTATTAAGTTAATCAGAAATTAAATATTAACTTGACTCTATTTGAAGAAAGAAATTATAAAAAGTAAAGGAGTACAAGGTAACATAATATAAGGTATGTAGACAAAAGAGAGTTATGCTGCATTGAAATATGTAACACCAGACATTCAAATTGAGTATGAGAGGTTTCCGCGTTACTACCGACATTTGGGGTGCTAAGGGATTAATGGGGTATTGA